CCGGACAGCTTAATGGCAAATTACTGCACTTGGCAATTTGCTCCGAAATTGACGATACCAATGGGTTGGATTTTATAGTGGACAGGGCATCACATACACGAACTTTCAAATTTACAAATTTGATAGCTTTAAGACCACCCCTGGGCGTGACATCGAGCACAACGGCCATGTCAGCTTTCGGCGGTAATTGACGCCTGAGAACAAACAGAAAGCTCAGGTAATATTTGCTATTTTCCAACTTTTGTAATTGACAAGTGAATTGTTTCACTATATCGTCGAGTGTTTCACAGCTTAAATTGGAGATTTCCACGGAAAAGGTGGGCTTTTTTGACTGAATTACAGGGAAAAATGTCAGGACAAAAGCAACGTTGTTTCGCTTAAATTATAATAACACCGATATTGGAAAGATACCGTTATATTGCACAGCCAATTTCAAACAATTCCGGTGAATAATGTCGCTTAAATCATCAAAATACCGAATATCGGGAGGTACCGATATATTGGGGCTATACGAAGGCATGGACATGCATAGGCAATTTTCTGCCTTAGGCTGTAGTATACATTACGAACTTCAACTACCAAGTTTCAGACAATTCCGGTGAATAATGTCGCTAAAATCATCAGAATACCGAATATAGGGAGGTTCCGATATATGGGCGCTATACGAAGACGTGGACCTGCACTAACAATTTTCCGTCATAGGCTCTAGTATTCATTACGAACTTCAAATACCAAATTTGAAACAATTCCGATGAATAATGTCGCTAAACTCATCAAAATATCGAATATCGGGAGGTACCGATATATGGGGGCTATACGAAGGCATGGACATGCATAGATAATTTTCTGTCATAGGCTGTGGTATCCATTACGAACTTCAAATACCAAATTTCAAAAAATTCCGGTGAATAATGTCGCTTCAATCATCAAAATACCGAATATTGGGAGGTACCGTTGTATGGGGGCCTTACGAAGACGTGGACCTGCACAGACTATTTTCTGTCTTAGGCTGTAGTACCCTTTACGAACTTCAAATGCCAAATTTGAAACATTTGCGGTGAATAATGTCGCTAAAATCATCAAAATACCGAATATCGGAAGGTAGCGTTGTGTGGGGGCTATACGAAGTCGTGGACATGCACAGACAATTTTCTGCCTTAGGCTGTAGTATCCATTACGAACTACAAATACAACATTTGATACAATTCCGGAGAATAATGTCGCTAAAATCATCAAAATACCAAATTTAGGGAGGTACAGTTATATAGGGGCTATAACTAAAAGTGGACCTGTATAGCCCATTTTCAATAACAAAAGTCCTGCAGACGAAAAACACATTTAAGTAAAATTTTATCAACCTACTTCAATTCGTTCGAAAGCTAGAGTGGTTTCCACAGACGTACATCGCTGAATCGACATGGAATTTTATGCTGATCAAGAATACAGGGTGATGTAAAAAAAACTGCAACAAAGTCAAACGTCAAAATTTTTACATTTTTTTTTAAATTTTATTGAATGGAAGCAAAAATTTCGGAAATAGCATCAAATTTTAGAATAAGTTTAGATTTGTTCGAATTGGTCACCTTTGGCACGAATTATGCCCTTCAAACGGCCAATGAAACGGTCACACACTGCCCGAATGTTGCTCTGCGGTATGTTGGCCCATTCCCGACGAAGCCCTTGCTTGAGGTGTTCGACTCTTTGGTATTTTTTGTGCCAACCTTGCTTTCCATAATACTCCAGACACAACGAAAAAATACTCCAACGGATTGGTATCTGGTGATTTTGGTGGCCATTGTGCGCTGGAAATGAAGCGAGGAACCTCATTTTGTAACCATTCTTGGAAGGCGCATGCTGAGTGCGATGTTGCTGAGTCCTGATGTTTGCATGCCCAAGGCTTTAATACACCCTCCAAAATATTTTCGCGATAACATTCGACATTTATTCTGATGCCACGGTCGATTAATACGAGCGGAGAGCGACCATCGGCTATTATGATGGCTCACGTCATTGCCATGGCCGGCGCTTGAGTTCTGGTGGCCAACCGAAGGTGCAAATTTTCAGCTGACCTCTTTGGCAACACGAACATGCTGCATAACGAATGTTTTCTTATCGGAGAAAACCGAAGTCGGCAGTTCACTACTTTCCGCCAAGTGAAAAAGTGAGAAAGGAAAAACTTAACCTGACGGTTCGAATGCTGTCCCAATTCTGATTATACCCTACACCACAAGGTGGTCAGAGTATTATGTCTTTGTGCGTTTGTTTGTAACAGGCAAAAGGAAACGAGATAAACCCATAGTTCCTTTTGATGAGCTGCATAGAATCATATTCTGAGTCGATTTATGCATGTCCGTTCGTTTGTCCATGTATTTTTGTAAACAAAGTACAGTTCGCATTTATTGCCCTATCCAGATGAAAATTTGCACAAATCATTTGTTTGGTCCAAGGACGAACCCTATGGAAATTGGAGATAATCGGTCAAAATTTAGATATGCTCCCATATATAACTTCGTCCGATTTGCCTTTTATTGTACACCAAACGTGTAATATCGGTCCGAATTGCACGGATTTTTGCACGTACGATCAGATTGGACCTCAAAATAAGTATGCCAAATTTGATCGAAATCGGTTCAGATATAGCTATAGCTCCCATATATATTGTTCATCCGATTTGTTATTTTTGTCCTCCGCAGCCGTAATATGCTGCACTCTGCAACAACAATATTTGGGGAAATATATCAAATACAGCTCAGAAATAAATTTGCTAAATTTTATCGAGATCGGTACAGATTTGTATATAGCTCCCATATATAACTTCGTCCGATTTACCTTGGATTGTGCACCAAACGTCTAATATTTGCCCAAATTGGATGAAATTTGGCACTTACGACCGAATTGACTCTAGAAGCTAGTACGTCAAATTTGGTGAAGATCGGTTCAGTTTTAGCTATAGCTTCCATATATATTGTTTATCCGATTTGTTATATTTGTTACCCACAGCCGTAATATGCACTCCGTAACAAAGATATTCAGGGAAATATATCAGAAATATCTTTGCCAAATTTTATCGAGATCGGTTCCGATTTGGATAAAGCGTCCATATATATTTTTACCCGATTTCAAATTAATTGTGCACCAAATGGCAATACAAGTCCGAATTTTAAAGATACAAATGCTTCGGCATATTTAGTCCTTTGAACTTTAAATTATAATTATAATCATAGCGTGTATGATAAAATTCTCCCATAAAAACGTTTAATTGTTACATGGAGCTCTACTTAATTAGCAAAGTGGTGTAGGGTATCATAAAGTCGGTCCCGCCCGACTTTAGGACTTTCTTTACTGGTTTTATTTTTTTTTAAATATGTTCCTTACGTACTACTGAAACTAATCTAACTTAACCTGGTCGCAACCACACAATTGTTCTTATCTATTTTTATTACATGGCTGCTTGTCCCTTCATTCAAGTGGTCTTGGCTACCTACTGGTGCATCGATATCTGTGTGTGTGTGGGTCATGTCCTTTATTATTTTACACATTATCATATGCGACAGCGCACAAGATTGCTGAATTCTTCACATGTGATAACATTTATCGCAGCTGCGAGACTGATATTTTGGAATCTTCATTTTTAATTGTTAGAATTTCCCAGCGCCTCAACCGCACTCAAAAGTATGTACAAAGTATTTTGTACACCATGCGAAGCAACTCTTTAGCTCTCTTGAGTCTATTTTCATTCTGTTGCGGTGTAAGTTCTTGTGCTTTTTGGAATTTCAATGGCTTTAACCCGAGCTCATTTTTCAAATTTTTGCCGAATGGAATATTGCAATATGTTCAGCTCACGAGCCATTTTTCGGTTTCGATCACATCGCTTCTTTACTTTTTGAACCATTTCTGCTGATGTTTCGGTGTAAGTTCTTGCGCTTTTTGGAATTTTGAATGGCTTTACCCCGAGCTCATTTTTCAATATTTGCCGAATGGAATATTGCGATATGTTCAGCTCACGAGACATTTTTCTGTTTCGATCACATCGCTTCTTTACTTTTCGAACCATTTCTACTGATGTTGCTGTTTTCTTCCGTCCATTCCCTTGACGTCGGGCTACGCTACCAGTATCGCGGTAACGAGAGATGGTACGAGACACAAAAGATTTATTCACATTTAAATGGAGAGCTGGAGTGCTCTAATGATAGCCACTTTTAGTTTTTCAGCTAAAAATAAAGAAATCACACTACTACGCTTGAATTCCATCATCAATAACTTTTTTTCTGGAATATTCTCATCAAAATGCTTTGAGCTGTCACTGGAATAATTTTAACAGCTGTCGGACGAGTGGCATAGAAATGACAGCAGTCTAAAGTTGGTTGCAGTTTTTTTCATCTCACCCTGCATTTTCGCATAACAGTAAAAATTATGTTTTGACGTTTGTTTTGGACGTACACCTGCGGCGAATTGATTTGAAAGGTTGACTGATGATGATAATAAGTTTTAAATTTGCAGCAGAATGAAGTATGCAGTATCGTATACGACATCGTCAGAACGACGCTTAATGCTTTTATTTAATAATTTTACACGTCTGAACAGTTTTACAGAAATTCCTGAAAATGTAGATATCGCAAAAATGTTGACTTGCGATTTTTAACGAATATCAAATTATCTTGTAGATCCTCTGAAGATACCTTTTATACAATTGCGAAATATCGAAATGCAAACAAAAAATAAAACTGCGCCTAAAGCTCGGATGAGTCTTATTATTAAATATATTATAATTTATATTGAAATATAATTTGATTTGAATAATGTTTGATTAATAACTCAATTATTGATTAGCTGTGGAATGATGTCATTTTAACAAGCGAATGAATTACTAATTATGGAAAATTCTAAAAATAGTTAATTTTTCATCTATAAGTAGAGAAACGATTGGGCAATTGCAGATCAATTGTTTGAAAATATTCAACGAGAAAATGTTGTTCCATCGCTTTATATTTCTTTCCATAATGGCTCATTATCTGATGGCAGCTAAGGTAAATTCGTTATCTATAAAAAAATTTCAAATAAACCAATAAATGTATATACCGTTTTATCACAGGTAAAAAAATCCCCATTTGTATTCGAAATTCAAAATATATGCTGTGAGGTTTGTACGGATTTGGTGAAACGAAACTACTGTCACTTTGACAAAGTGGCGCCCAACAAATATGCCCTTAGTTTTCTAATTGAAATCAATCGTCAATTGCCAGCAGCCACCGAGGTGGCCTTTACGATAGATGTTAGACCCAAGGGTGGCCAGAAGGCAGTGAAATTTGTAAATCTAAGACTTAAGGTCTGTGACGCCTTGGCAAGTTTGAAAACAAACCCGATGCTTATGATGATATTAAGGGAAATGTTGCAGAACAGCAATCTGCCTCTATCGTGTCCCCTGAAACCGGTGAGATGAATGGTACTTAGTAATACTTTGTTATTTACAGATTTCGTTTTATTTCTAGAACATTTTATATAACATTTCCAATATGATGGTAAGCGATGAAATTGTACCCAGCTATGCCCCAACATTGGACTTTAATTTTACCATGATATTTTATTTGGAAAAATCGAATATGGGCACAATTTTTGTCCAGGGTGCAATTAAAAGGAATTAAAAACATTGGATTTGTTCTTTGAGGCCTGGTATCTTAAATATATAGCTTTAGAAAGCCTTCCGTACGGAAGATATTAAAAATTATTTTAATTATTTGGTTAATTGTTTGGCTTAAGGTCATTAAACAACAATATTTTTACTTTTTTTCCTTATTTATTTATCCAATATTTCGATTTCATCCGGAAATCATCTTCAGGGATATTGGTGGTATTTTGAATTCGATCTTGTTAACGACTAAAAAACCCATTTGTCAACCTCCGGTTGTTGTGACCGGCTCGTCGCCACTTTCGTATTACTTCAAGGTTGCTCCCTGGCCACTAAGGTCTTTTTCATGTAGGTTCCAGGATCAGCTGTTCGTTTGGAGATCTAAAAGGGTTGTCCAAGTATTTGTTTTTGATTTTTTACACTTGTTCACAGAATCTAGATTTTATAGTTTTCTTCTGATGCTACCATTTTTGCAACGACCTCGAATGCGAAGGTGGTGATTTTTTGATTTGTCCATTTCTAATCTGACTTCGTATTACTTCAAGGGGGTTTCATGGCTTCAAAGAACTTCATAATGTAGATTTTAAGGTTTAAGGGTTGTCTAAGCCTTTCCTTTTTGATTTTAAAGAGTTGTTCACAGAATCTAGATATTACAGTCCAGTTTTTTTTCTGATGCTACCATTTTCCTTCGAGTGCTAAGGCGGTGCCTGTTTGTTCCTCCATTTTGATGTGAGTTCGTATTACAAAGTTCTACTTGATTGAAAGGTGTTCACAGAATCTAGATATTACAGTCCAATTTTCTATTGATTCTCTGTTCTTCCATTTCTGAATTGAGTTCGTATTACTCCCAGGTGGTTCCATAGCCACTAAGATCTTCTCCATCCAGAAGGAAGCTCCAAGCTCAGCAGTTCATTTGGCGATTTTATTAGGATGTGTGATTATTTCTTTTTGATTTTAGACATCTGTTTACAGAAGCTAGATATTATGGTCCAGTTTTCTTCTGTTCCTACCTTTATTGGAACGGCTTCGAGTGCTAAGGCAGCGCGTCTTTGATTCTCCCATTCCTGATCTGAGTTCGCATTACTTCAAGGTGGTCCCATAGCCACTAAGTCCATCTTCTTGTAGACTTCAATTTTAGCTTTTCGTTTGCAGATCTAAAAGTGTTTTCCATGCATTTCTTTTTGTTTTTAACCGGTTGTTCAAAGAATCTAGATATTACAGTCCAGTTTGCTTCTAATGCTAACATTTTTGCAACGACCTCGAGTGCTAAGGCAGTGCCTGTTAGTTCTTCCATTTCTGATTTCAGTTCGTATTACCTCAGGGTGGCTCCTTAGACACTACGTCCCTCTTTATGTCGATTTCAAACTCAGGTGATCTTTTGGAGATTTAAAACAGTCGTCTAAGTAATTCTTTTTGATTGTTAATCCAGTCCGGATTACTTCAAGGTAGATCTATAGCCTCTAAGGTCTTCTCATTGTAGGCTCCCAGTTCAGTTGTTCAATTGGATTTCTTAAAGGATTCTAAATATTTCATTTCGATTTTAAATAATTTGCCACAGAATCAGGATATTACAGTCCAGTTTTCTTATAATGCTACATATTTGCAACGGTCCGAGTACTAAGATAGTGTCTTTAAACCATTCTATTCCATATCTGAGTCCTATTCATCGGTTGCCTGTAAGAAAGTTATGTTTTATGGTGACTACTTTTTTATACAGCCGAAAAGGATAATTATTTTGGCCACAAATACTTCCTGAAATACCCATGTCCCGAGAGCACCTGTATTACTTAATAATTTACATACCCGTAAGTTCGGTTAATTCACGATCTTATATGTATTTGAAATGAGCTTGGCGGATCATTTTGCATAAGACTTTTGGTTCCACATCCTGTTAAATTTTGATCTTGAAAAAGAGTAGACTCCGTAAAAGGTCCCACTCTTCGAGCAATCCTGCTATCGAGCAAGTTTCGCTTCCGAATGAAAATGAGCAAATCTGTGTAGAAGAGAGAGAGAGAGAGAAAGATCTTGGTATCCATTGCAAATACAATTCAAATTGAAGAAGATAGGAACATGCGATGAGCAGACCTTCGAGATCATTATAAATAAATGAAATAGGATTTTTAGTTGCCGAATGTGGTGTAGCATACTTGGATCCCACATGTGAAATAACTATGCGTGTTTATGACATCTCTTTAAGACTTACGACATTTTTTGGTGCATAGGCATGTGTAAGTTAGGTTAAGTTACATTATCATGATTAGTTCTTAAGAAATATTTCACTAAATAAAGATATTGCCTTACAACCAAACAAAAAAAAACTTTTCATCTTTACGAATTAAAGATCTCCGTTTACACCTATGTATGTCCGAAATTTGGTGACTTTTATATATTTCACTAGAATTTTTTATAATTAGAACCCTTGATTCCATTTTTCAGGCCCCATTTTTTAATTTATTATTAAACCTCATTTAGGCCCCTCGTTTAATTGAACCCTGGCAAAATACACGTCCCAAATATATCTGCCGTTGATAAAATGCCAGAGTTACATTGAAATCCATGTTGGGTGCATAGCTGGGTATAATCTCCTCGTTGATTGTCAGCTGGGATATGTTGTACAGGACATTCTAGAAACGAAATTGAAATAAATTTTTATATTCTAAAATCCCAATGAACTTACCTCCATTATAGGGCACGCCATTGGCAGATTACTGTGTAGTATCAATTTCCGTTGGAATACCATTACCAAAGGATTTGTTTTCATATTGGCCAGGGCATCACAAACTTTTAACTTTAAATTGAGAAATCTCACCACCTTAGCTCCGCCAACGGGTCGTACATCGAAGAGGATGTTTACTTCGGTATTCCAGGGCATTTCACGATTAAGCGCCACCAGGAAATCAAAGGCAAAGGTGCTGTTAATCACATTGTTCACCTGACAATGATATTGTTTCAGCCAATCGCAACAGACTTCACAGTTTAGGCTATCAATGGCTAAGGAAAAAACCGCCCGTTTGGCCTAAATGCGTAGAAGAGAGAACGAAAGTTTTGAAAAGGTACAATATAATTTTAAATTATTCTGAAGAGACCTTCAAAGGAAAAAAGGTCAAAGATATTTTTAAAATTATTATTTTGTTTTTTTTTTTTATTGTTTGTTTTTTTTTAATTTGTAGCATTTCATGATGTTTGGTTTGGGGCTTGTATTTTTCAGGAATTTACCTGGACTTCATAGAAATGCAGGATTATCAGTAAAAACAAATTGAATCTATAGAACAACATTTTAACTTGAATGTAGGCCGTTAAATGACATTAAAAAGAAGCTTAGTTTTAAAAACAAATTATTTTCCATTTAGTGCAGTATTATTGACATTTTTCCAAACAATTAACCGTAATTTGCTGTTATTAGAAATGACATCATTTTCCGTATGAATTTTGAAAACAATAAAAATTATAATAAAACAATTACAAGATATAACAAAAGTTATGCCACCAAGGGCTTCGAGAGGTTAGCTCATTAGCCAAAAATCGCAGGTAATTATCATAACGATGATATAACGTTAAAGAGATAGTAAAAAATCATTGGATCGATTTTTTAATTTCTTCCGAGGTGTAATTAGTGTCATTTGTACACCATGTGTAATTCATTGTTTGACGTTTTATGACACTTTCATATATTTCAATTCATATCATATTTTTACTATTGGCAACACTAATTTGTTGTAAATGTATATATTCGTCCTTTTCTTACACATGTGCCAAATGATTAAGATGTTGATTTCAATATGCAACGAAATTTATCAGAGAATAACAAAAAAGAATAACGGCATTTGTTTGTTTCATTTTAGGTTTTCGCTTGTGTTTCTTTGATTTGTTTTGTCTCAAAAGAGGGAAAACGAGTTTGTAAAATAAAAAATTATTTTAAGCATCTGACATTTTATTGCCGGTATGTATTTACGAAAAAAAACATATTCAACCAATTCGAAATTTAAGGACTATTTTATTTCAGAGATGACAGACCAATAGGGATTTAGGTTTCAACCTGCATGGTTAGAGAAAGCAGAATTCAAGGGCTGGTTGGTCAAAATAGTTGATGATGGACACGAGTTTGCCTTTTGCAAGCTATGCAATAAAAAGTTATTGTGCCATAAAAGCCGGTACTATCAAGACGTATGGAAAGAACTTTTGACAAAAACGCTGCTTGTACCATAAAATTGACTTCGAAAATTGTGACAGCTTTAGAAAGTTCGTAGTCATATAAAACTAAAGTATAAAGGGTTGAATTAAAATTGGTTGGAATGTTAGCAACAAATAATTTGCTCTTTTAGACTTGTAGGTGAGCTAACATCTGTGCTAAGATCAGCTTTTCCAGATTCCTATACAATAAAAGCTTTGGTAGAACCAAATAAACAGATACAGATACACCTCATTTTATGTTTGGCCGAAATTATAAAAATATGAGACACCAGATATTGTATTAATAAAATGCTGCTGCCACTTAATACATTGACTATTTGAAAGTTTTGCTACGAAATACCGGTTCCTATTTTAATAGGAGTTATATTCGCCGGAAAAGCCTTCAAGAATATTTGCAAACTGATATTCAAAAAATATTGTCGCGAGCAATAACCAGATGGCTACATTTATGTGTAAATCGCATTTAGAACAGTATGAACCTTTAAGAAGTTTTTTTTAGGCTACACTTTTGTATTTTTTTTAGTGCCAACCTTGTTCTTCAAAATACTTCCAACACAATAGTCCCACGGATTGATATCCGGAGATTTTGCTGGCCATTGTGTGCTGGAAATGAAGCGAGGAATATCATTTTGTAACCATTCTTGGTTGGCGCATTCTGAGTCCTGTTGGAATGTCCAAGGCCTACGGTCAAAATGTTTGCGCGCCCAAGGCTTTAATACACCCTCCAGAATATTTTCACGATAATATTCGGCATTTATTTCGATTAATTCGAGCGGAGAGCGATCATCGGCTGTTATGGCGGTTCAGACTATCACCATGCTCGGCGCTTGAGTTCTGGTGGCCAACCGAAGATGCCCATTTTCAGCTGACCTGTTTGGCAAGTAAACACGATCATTTTGTTTGTTTACAAACTGCTGGACAAAGAATGTTTTCTCATCGGAGAAAACCAAATCCGGCAGTTCACCACTTTCGGCGAAGCGAACCAACTCTTGAGCTCTTTTGAGTCTATTTTTTTCTGTTGCGGTGTAAGTTCTTACACTTTTTGGAATTTCAATGGCTTTACCCCGAGCTCATTTTTCAATTTTTGCGAATGGAATATTGCAATATATTCAGCTCACGAGCCATTTTTCGGACACTGTGACGCGGGTTTCGTTCAAGTCGCTTCTTTACTTTTCGAACCATTTCTGCTGATGTTGCTGTTTTCTTCCGTCCACTTCCGTCCACTTCCTTGACGTCGGGTTACGCTACTAGTAATGAGCGATGGCACGAGACACAAACGATTTATTCACATTTAAATGTTGCAGTGCTCTAACTATAGCTACTTGTGGTTTTCCAGCCAAATATAAAAAAATCGCATTATCACGCTTGAATTCCATCACGAATAACTTTTTCTGGACAATTCTCACGAAAATGCTTTTGTACGCTTGTAAACAATATAATCAGCAGTCGCTGGAATAATTTTAACAGCTGTCGGACGAATGGCGTAGAAATGACAGCAGTCTGAAGTTGGTTGCAGTTTTTTCATCTCACCCTGTAATTTAATGTTTTTTAATCATTGAAATAAATTAATTTCAAATTAAAAATCTAGTAAATTGATAAAAAAAATGGCAAAACACAATGCATAGTTTGAAAACGATTATGGTATTCATTAGTCGCAAACATTTCCGTAATTTATTGTTTTCAATGTGCGGAAGAAATGAAATTATTGCTACATCATTCCACATCGGTTTGGCAATTGTTTTCTACAACATGCGATCGGTGGAGGTAAGAAGAAAATTCGATAAAATGTAACCCAAAGTTATCAATTTTCACGTTTACAAACAGACCTCCCGACGCACTTTTAATGTGGAGTTCCACAAAGTAATTTGCACCAACTACACCCGACCCATGATCTATTTGTATTGCAACATTAGGAAATATGCCGTAAATCGTTATGCCATCGATGTGGGTTTGGGACTGGAACGCGATGCCCATCCCAGTGCCGAGCTGTCAATGAAGATCACCTATCGTTTCGCGAGGGGCCAGAAAACGGCAACCTTTGTCGACATCACCTGGAATATTTGTGAGGCGCTAATGAACCTCAAGGGCATACCAATTATAAATAAAATATTTGTGGAGCTCATGAGAACGACCAGTTTGCCCTGTAAATGTCCCATCAGGGGGGTGAGTTGGAATTTTTGTCTCAATTCATTAATGATGTTTATGAGAAATTTTGATATCGGTTTCTCGTTTTTTAGAACACTATTTATAATGTCACAAACTTTATGCTCACCGAGGATTATATACCGCCCTATGCCCCAATATTGGATTTTAATTATTCTCTAACAATAACTGAACATAAAAAATTTGTGGCCTTCTATGTGGTACAGGGTTCGACGGTTCCAAAAGCTAGGAACATTAAAAAGAATCAGAAAAGTTATAAAAATGTTTTTGGATTGGAACTTCTCCTTTAGAACATGTGGGAAATATTCTCAAAAAAGATTTAAAAAAAAACTTGTAAAAAAACACGAAACTCATATTAGGATAATGATCCTAGAACATGTGGGAAATATTCTCAAAAAAGATTTAAAAAAAAAAATCTGATAACAAAACACGAAACTTATATTAGGATAATGATCCTAAATATTCTTATTAGGGGTTTAAGTGGCGTATGTTCAGTAAAAGCTTAAATGATGCAGTTATGTGAGAAACGCTACAACACCATCGCAGTGGTTTTTACTGAACATACCCTCTTGGTTACTCAGTTTCTCTTCTTATGCTCTTTGAAGAAAAACAGATATTGAGTAGCAATACCGTAGTTAGAAGCATCCCAGCAGTCCGCTCGCCATTACAATTTAATACCCATCCAAATGTATGCTACTGTGTCAATAGGAAAAAATGAAATAAAAGTGGTTTATAGCATACAACTAGCATCCGATTTGGATGAGTCGCATTGCTATTACATTGTGGAACAAAATCCATATTAGAATTAAAGAAAAAAACAAAATATAATAAAATGTGTCCATCGCACTTGCATCTGAATCGGATGCCTTTGTATTGTTTTGTAATTTTTTTTGTGTGTGTTGTTGCAGCCGGTGTTGTACCGTTATTCATTTTTGATGCTTCTTTCTTTTTTAAAGCAAAATTTTATTCTGTGTAGTGATTTTGAAAGTGCAAGTCGTGTATATTGAAAAGAAGTTAATAAAATAAATTAATAAAATAAGAATATAGTAAGTGTTGTGTGTTAAATAAGTTAAATAAAATGTCATGATTCAGTAGGAGAAATTTAAGAGATTAAAGAAAGTGGAAGCAGACAATTTAAAAAGAGTTGAGGAAGGACTGTTTGGAAAACAATGATATTGTTCTAAATGAGCAGATTCCATGCATTCCAAAATTGTAGAAGATTTTGGAAAATATGTAAGAGTATTAAAATCTCTCCGTTATAATTATAATTTCGCCAGATGGCCTTATTAAAACCTTCTGAAATATTATAGACATTTCTATAATATTAAATTACAACTATGATGGTACTCAAAATAAAAAGTCGTTTAAGGAATTTAAACTTTTAAACATAGGCATTTTCGGTAAGTTAAATTTTTTCTTACATATTTATTGAAAAGTGATATTATATTACCTTAAAATGTAGTCCATTAGTCTATTCTATAGTATAACTGTTTAATATGAAAAAATTGTTCTATATTTTCTATCCTTATTTCAGAAGCTATTATCTGTGAAGTATTCAATGAACTGGATTACGCCAAAAAATTAGAAATTGTTTCAAATTCCCTAAGGCCAGACACTTCGGAATAATATCCTACAATAAAAAAACTGGAAAAAATTAAATTTTTTTCCTTTAGTTTAAGCTTTGTTTCTTCCCACGTCTTTTGAATAAGTTTTATGAATTTCTTTTTTATGCATTATTTCTCATTATAATAAGAATATTTTATGGTTGAAAACGCTGTTCTATAATACGAATATTTTAATAAAAAACATCTGAAATTTAAGTTCCACAATCTAAAATGTTGATGAAATTGGACCCATCCAACCTTCGCTTACAATGTTGATAGATTTCGGACCCATCCAATATTCGCTTACGTTGTAGGCCG